TTTTTCTTCTTCTCAATCATCTCATAGAGAAAGGCTCTCTGTGGTTGGGACATTATCTGTCCTATCAGACTAAAAACTTCGGATAGGTAGAAACCTCACCAGCTACCCCTGAATTCCATGCCCCTCCACCCTCTTTGAAGGAGCCCTCCCGCCCCCGGTGGGGCTGACTTGTGCGTGTATCATCTAAAGCTAAGCTGCCCAACCATGCAGCATGCCCACTCCCCAAGTACAGGGTCTGGGTGAGGCACCCCAGGAGGCTCAGTGCCTAGTACATCATCAACCCTCCATTCAGAATGTCAGGTCCTGAGAGGTTATGGGGACAACCCTGGCAGATCTCCAACAGCCCCAGGATAAAGAGTTTAATTGATAAGGTCAGAGATGACAGCCCAGCAAGCCAGCCAATCAGAGGGTAAATGAAATCGTGACACCTCTGGGGTCATAAAGCAGGTTGCTTTATATTGGTGCAGAACACCAGGCCAGAGCTGTCCCCCACCACGAGGGGCCAGCCCAGGAGAGAAGTGGGGGGAGGCTGGAACTGGTATTCTAGCATCCTCTGTGTGAGTCTGTATCTCAAAGGAACCACATTCTGAGTCAGACCTCAGCAACAGCAGGAAACAGGGTAGAGAAAGACAGGGATGAGGAACAGAGGAAGGTGGTATGGAGGTAGACGAGGAAGGTGAAAGGCGGCAACATCAAGAACGGCCTGCATCAGGACGCCATGACAAAGGTGAGGGTGTTCAGGGGTAGCTAGTCCAGGGGGTAAGAAGGAAAACTAATCTGATAGTGTGGGCAGATTCCGGATTTGCGAGCAGTATGGCCCAGGGAAGACAGAAGTTCAGCACTGGTGCCAAAAGGGGGAAATGCAAAGGACTAAGAGAAGGAACCTGCACAAATTAGGAAAGGTGACTGGTTTAGAATGAACCTGGCAGTCGGTTGATGCCTATTAGAAGAGCCCTGATATTGCAGTTGGGCCTCCAGCAGGCTGTGTGACCTTGGCCAAGTCCCTTCCCCTCTCGGGGCCTCAGCCTCTTCATCTGTACCACTCTGGATAGCACTGAATGCATTCAGAGGTCCAGTCCAGCACTGACATTCTGAGGTTCCACAGACAGAAGGAAAGGCTCAGTTCTGGCTCACAAGTTTGTGTGTGAAGAAAGAACTAGAGGGAGGGGCCTAGGCCAGATTTGATGGAAAAGAGAAAGCAGAGCAGTTCTAGGTCAGGGAGCTTGGCAGAGCGGGAGAAGGGGCTGCAGGGGAAGGTGGAGAAGGCCGGCCCAGGCCCAGGCGGGTCAGAAGGGGAGGGAAGGGGCTGGAAGGGGGAGTAGTTCTGGAGGGACTACCCTAGATGACGGGCTGTCCCAAACGGGCAAACGGGTAGGGGGATGGAGGGAGTGAATGGCTGGGGGAGAGAAGGCAGGGGAGTGACCTGGGAGTGGGACAGATCCGGAGGGAGTGGGTTACCTTGGGCCCGGGATAGATCTAGAGGTGTTAAGTGTTGCGGGGCGGAGGGGGGGGGGGCACTCTATCCCGCGCAAGGTGAGGCGCTTTCCCAGCTGCGGCACAGGCTGGGGGTGCGACCAGCAGCGGGGCCTGAGGGCTGGCCCAGGGAGTCCTGCGGGGGCCGGACGGGAGGGTCTGTCTGGGGCTGTCCCGGGCCTGGCTCGGGCCCCTCCCAGAGCTCCGCGCAGGCCCCAAGGCGGACGCGCGGGTTAAAGGGCCACGCTCACCTTCTCCTTCTTGAGTTTATAGGGCATCTCGGCCCGTCCGGACCCGGCCCAGCTTCTGCGGCCCCGCTCCGGCTCCGGCTTTGCTCGGCCGCACTCGGCCCGCTCGGCGTCTCTTCGCCACCGCCTGCGCGCTGCGCCCGGGTCGATCGGTATCTGCGCCTCCAATTGGCCCGAACTCTTACAAACCTGCCTGACAACCAGGCGCCGCCTCTTCGGATTGGTCATTGGAGCCAAGCTGCTTCCTTTTTTTTCTCATTGGAAAGGAAGAGTACAAACCGCCAGGGTTCGGCTCCAAGAATTGGCTCAAGTAGGAGGTCCCGCCCCAAAGTGGGTCGAGCTTAGTGAAGGAGGCGGGGGTAAGGGGAAGCCCAAGCTTAGCACTTAGTGCCGCACTCCGGCGTCTGTGGTACGTCGGCCTCGGCCTTTATTCGCAGCCGGTTCTTTTCTAAAGTGGCTGTCACTCATTCCTCACTTTGCTCCTCCGCCCAGTTCGAAAGAAGCCCTAAAATGAAGGGTGCCTTTCTACATCAGGGTAATGTAGTTCTAATTGCACACGCAAAATTGGTGGAGAGAGCGCCCAGGAATTCTAGACGGCTCCGTTTCCTAGACAGGGCTTGCACAGAATCAAAGGGGAAGCCTGGCAGGCCCGGGGCATGGGTAAGATGAGATGAGAATCCTGGGTTTGTTGCAGCTTTGGGAAGAGGATCCCTGTTCCTACTGCAGGTGTCCAGGGATTGGGGAGCCAGCTAGATTTGCGCACTTGGGAACACAGTGGAAAAGCTACCTCATTGTTTAGTGAGTGTCTCAGGAGGTACATCCCTTACATCCCACCCTACCCAAGCCACTGTCCTAATAATGGATAAGATCAGTTCCTGCCCTCAAGGAGTTCCAGCCTGATGAAGTTCACAGACATGTATAAACAGATGATTAAGATAGGGTAATAAATTACACAAACGAAGAGGAGGCTGGAGGAGTATGTTTCAGAAAGTTGATTCCAGTAACAGATTGACTACACGAAGAAACTGGAGAAGGCTCAAGAATAAGCCTGTGGTCCTTTGCCCAGGAGAGCAATGTTATAAGACAATGGCCATGGGCATAAAGAAGAAAGGATGAAATAGAAATGTGTAGAATCAACAGGATTTGGTGGTTCGCTGGACCGTGGGGAGGATGGTAAGGGAAAGGGGGGAGTTGAGTATCAGAGATGTAGAAGGAAAACTAGTGTCATAATGGCAAAGGAAGTGAAAGAATTGGTCAATAGTGTCAGATTCCAAAGAAAGATTGAGAAAGATAAAGATCAAACAGCATCACCTTGATTCTACAGTTGAGAGGTTATGGGTGATCTTCGCAAGAAAGTTTCAGAGGACTAGAAGGAAGCTTATAATGGGTTGAAGAGCCCCAAGAGATATGGGAATAAAAGCAATAAATATAGGCATCTGGTTTTCTTACCGAAGCAGTATTTGGCTCCCAATGACTAATGATAATTTCAAGGTAATACAGAGTGGCCTGTGTGCCAGCCATTATTTTCTGGAGGAAAAGCCAGAAAGGAAAGGACATTTATTTGTGGATGGATATTCGTGTCTGTATGGGTGCTGACACAGACAGAATACCAGGTGTGTTTTCCAATTCCGAAGGCCTCCAAGGGCACCATAGTCCTAAGGCCTAGAGCTTGTCTGCTACTGTGTATAAAGCAGGCATATCCTCTTTGGACCCACCTCATCATCCTCCCAGTCCTTGGTCACTCTAGGAGGCTGGGGATGGAGGCACATAATAGTTTAGAACTACCAAATAGGAATTTTTATTCATGCTAATTCAGCTACCTAGTACATTCCCTTATATATATAAACATATTTATATGTTTATTGATTTTTAGAGAGAGAGGAAGAGAAAGAGAAACATCAATGTGAGAGAGAAATGTCGACTGACTGCCTCCCACCTGAGCCCCGAATCCAAAACCTAAGCATGAGCCCTGACCCAGAATCAAATGCACAAGCCCTTGGTGCAAAGGGTGATGCTCCAACCAGCTGAGCCATACTGGCCAGGACTGTTTAGTGCATTCTTGCACACTGTTGTAAAGATGTAGAACTGAGCAATTTCAGGTTTAGGACTAGAGGTACCTCCAGGAACTATAATCAGACATTTAAAACAATCTTCTTGAAGCTTTAAGGATCGAAATACTTTATAACATGTAAATCTATTCAACTCTCAGGTTTTCAGGAATGCATTATGTTCAAAGTAGATGACTGCCTCAAGATGCCTGCTGTGAAGGAAGGGAGAAAGTTGGGCAGTAGCTGGAAGAGAATGCAAGGTCCAGAAAGAGTAGATTGCCATCAACCAGTCCAATGATTGTAAGTACAAATATATTGTTAATTACTGGAAATATGGCCTACCAGTGCCCAGTGGCTTGTACAGAGCAAGGAGGTGGACACAAATATGGAATCTAAGTAACAGTACAAGCTGTTGTTTCGGTGCTCGTGACTGAAGCCTTGAACCCCTCTCTTCTGCTTGGTCTGCTGCCCCCTCCTGCCCTCCCCAGGGTAGGAAGAGGAAATGAATCTCTGGTTTGTAAGGATTGGCTGGGGGAGAACAACTGGTTTTGGAGGGATGAAAAGGCGAAACTGCTTTGTGTTTGCTTCAAGTTTGGTGGGAGTAGAAGAAACAGGACAAGAAACACTGGAACGTGGGTTTTGTGTAGGACGTGATGGAACAGGTGTGGCAGCACCAAGCATTCCAGGGCTACGTGAATCACATTCAGTAATTCAGCCAGCAGGCACTCCATATCCATAAGCATGTCTGAGACCGTTTTATAATCCTACCACTCCCTTCTGCAACCTTCCCACAACACCCAAACCTCAGCGCCTATAGTTCCACACTGGGAACTGTAGGATTTCCACGGAGGAATGCACTTCTTTCTTAACACTCCACCCACAGCTCCCAGCCCCTTGCCAAAGTTGGTTCACTGCACGCTGACCCTTCAATGATCATTCAGTACTTTCAAGTACATGTTATGTGGAAGGTGGTTGAGAGTACGTTACTCCCCTAGCAGGCGCGAAAGGCAAATCCCTGGAAACAGTTCAAAGGACGCGTGCACAAAGACCATGCAACCGCAGTAATTGGGTTACTGCCATCGAGGCAGTAGCCTGATGAAGCCAAGGCGCTACCCACCCTCTCAGAGCGAGCGCGCTGCACCCGACGCCCCACCCACTTGCCTCGCACCTCCCCTGACGGAAGCGGAAACGGCGTGCGCGCCTCTGTCGTCAGCTCTCTGGCTCCGGAAGGTGCGCTCCTTCACTTTCCTCCTCGGTATCCTGTCACCATGGTGTTGGCAGTCTTGCGGGTCCTGGAGCCTTTCCCGAACGAGACACCCCCGTTTGCGGTGCTGCTGCCGCCCGGGGGCCCGTGGCCTGCGGCGGGGCATGGCCTGGTGCTGGCCCTGCGGCCTGCAGGGGAGAGCCCGGCAGGGCCGGCGTTGCTAGTGGCGGCCCTGGAGGGAACGAGCGCAGGGACCGAAGAGCAGGGTCCCGGGCCCCCGCAGCTGCTGGTTAGCCGTGCGCTGTTGCGGCTTCTGGCCCTGGGCTCCGGGGCGTGGGTGCGGGCGCGGCCTGTGCGGCGGCCCCCAGCGCTGGCCTGGGCGTTGCTTGGCACCTCGCCCGGGCCCGGGCTCGGACCGCGAATCGGGCCGCTGCTAGTGAGGCGTGGAGAGGTCCTACCAGTGCCCGGACCACGGGTGCTGGAGACGCGGCCCGCGTTGCAAGGACTGCTAGGCCCAGGGACGCGGCTAGCTGTGACTGAGCTCCGTGGGCGGTCCAAATTGTGCCCGGAGACTGGGGACAGCAGCCAGCCCACACCCCCGCCTTTGGTGTCCTTCTTCGCGGTTTCCGGTACAGTCCGGCGACTCCGGGGAGTTCTAGGAGGGACTGGAGATTCACTGGGGGTGAGCCGGAGTTGTCTCCGTAGCCTCGGCCTCTTCCAGGGCGAATGGGTGTGGGTGACCCGGGCCGGAGAGTCAGCAAACACTTCCCAGCCACACTTGGCCACGGTGCAGGTCCTAGAGCCTCGCTGGGATCTCTCTGAAAGGCTGGGACCCGGCTCGGGGCAGTTGGGAGAGCCCCTCGCTGATGGACTGGCCCTCGTGCCTGCCACTCTGGCTTTCAATCTCGGCTGTGATCTTCTAGAAGTGGGAGAGCTCAGAATTCAGGTAGGATATAGGACTGAGGTCAGGCATGCTTATCCTCCTTATCCCCCCTTCTTTATTTTAACCGAATTGGAAGACCAGAGCTGTAAAATTGAGGTCCCTTACTGCTTAGATCTTGGACTTCTCGCCTTATTGATTCATTCTCTACATTCAAAATATAATTTCCTCCAGAGTGTGGTAGTGCATGGGAAGGGCTTTCTTCTATTCAGGTGAAATGTGAGATGCACAGTCTGATTACTGGGGGTTATTCATTATTCTCAATCTAATCAGGTGTTTGTTAAATTGCTACAGTGTATCCAGTATTGTGCTGGGTAATATGGAAGATGATACTTACAGGCTTTTGCTCATGCTTATCCTTGGCTTCAAATTCCTTCCTAGTCTTATCATCTTTATGTGTTCAAATCCTACCATCCTTTCCTTCAAGGCCCATCTAAAGATGCCACCATCTTTACTAAGCCTTTCGTAATTTCACCATGAAAAATTTAACATGACATCTTCCTATAGCATTTTGTTCTTTTTTTTATGGCATTTATTTTATTTTGCCTTGTTATGTTCATGTAATCTGTCTAGTTCCCAATTATATATTGTAAATTCCTTGAAAGGAGGGCTCTTTATTATCTTTGGGCCTGGTGTTTAATTGTAATATCTTATTAAATATATCCAAGTGAAGTTTTTGGCTTCTGCCTTTAAGGAGCCTACTTCAAGACGATAATTGTATTTGGGGGAACAAATATAGTCTAATGTTTAGTTAAGCACATAGATGCATGGTTAGGCCTGCACTGTCCAATATGGAAGCAGCTTTCCATTCTGTGACTCTTTAATTAAAACTAAATGAAGTTAAAAACTCAGTTCTTTGGTTGTTTTAGTCACATGCCAAATGCTCAGTAGACACATGTAGATGCAGAACATTTCTATCACAGTACAGAGTTCTTTTAGATGATGCTGGCATAGCCAGTTAGGGGCATGGGATGTGAAGAAGGGATATAAGATATGCATGAATGGGAGCCAGGAGTGGGTTTCCTTCCAAATGGAGGAAAAACTACTGGAGTATTCAGACTGGAGCTCATTCAGCTGAACCAACCCTTTAAGCTTCAGTGAGATCATATCCTTTTCCCACAGCCTGAATTCAAAGTATCCCCACTAATGTCCACCTAATGTCAATCCCAGTGACTGGTGCCGCTCAAAGGACTGTGGGAATTAAATGTCTGCCATTTTTAGTGGCTCTGGCCCAACTTAAATATATCTCTGAAGGCTTATCTTTACTGGGGAACTTTTTGGAACTAACATTAGCAAAGTCGCAGTCAGAGACCTCTTCCTGGTGCTCATTGGAAGGAGAGGTTTCTGTTTTCTAGGTAAGATACTGGTATTTAGCTTTGCTACCCTAGGCCTCTCCTCCCATAAGCCTTGTGGAGATGAAAGAGGATGAAAATAAAAATACTGGCTGGTAAGAGATAGGTCAGAGCCCAACTCTTTAGAAGAAGATTATAAGGTGGTGGATATTTCTTTCATAGAGATACTTGGAAGGCTCCAGCACCCCTGAAGACAAAAGAAGCTGCTCAGTGCTGCCTGGCCCTCCGTTTGCCAAAGAGTTACACATCGAAATCGTGTCTTCTCCCCACTACAGCACTAACGGAAATTATGACCATGTTCTTTATCGGCACTTTCAGACACCCAGGTTAGCTGGCCACCCCTTTTAGGAGGATAGCACGTCACCCTTGTTGCTCTCCCATCCGATCCTACCTAGATCCAGGTACCATGGAGCCTCAGATTTTAAAAAGCTACGTTTTAAGCAATATTGTGGCTAAACGCCTCTTGGTTTGTCAGGCATACAATAGTAGAAAAATCTGGACATTTCTGAACTGAGAAACTGCTTTGATTTGAGCTTCAAGAGAGCCAGGATCCTGCTTCAGCCCTTCCTGGTTTCCGATTCCCCTGTCTAGCCATTTCCTCCAGCTCATTCTAGGTCAGACTTGTTCTCTGAGCAACTGCTTGGGAGCTCTGGGTGGGCAGTAGGCCCCTAAGAACTAGTCTTCATGTTGGGGTTGGGAGCGGGGAAGGAACATGTCAGGCACGTGCACTTGACCCCCGACTGTGAGCTGACCAGGGCCACTGCTCTGTTACAGGGCAGTCCAGGAAGGGGATGTTCTGTGTGTGCCAACAGTCGGGCAAGTAGAGATCCTGGAAGAAAACCCAGAGAAACTGCCCAGGTATGCAGCTGTCTCCTACCTTACGACTGGGGTTCTTAATCTAGCTGCTGGAGTTCTACAACCCCCTCTTCCCGAGTGGTATGGAATAATTTTGTGCATAAGAACATTTTGTTGTTACATACTTCGCTGGAGAGAAGGTACACAGTCTTTTCAGGTTCTCAAATAGGCACATGACTGAAAAAAGATGAAAAACCACTGCCTGCTAGCTTGGGTTTATCCTCAAATTGAATGGTGGTCCTAGATAAAGTAAAACATTTAAAATAACTTAATGGCCTAGGCCAAAGTGGAATTTCTTGTCTTCCATTCTCAACCACAGTGTTGTTTGGGGCGGGATTTGGGCCGTACCTCCCACATACTCAGCATAAGGAGACCCAGGCTCCAATTTCTGCCCCAACTGATGGGGTGTGCACATGTTGCTTCTCGGTCTTATGTCCCAAAAGAGGGAGAGCGGGATTGCTGCTGTCCCTGAGAGCCTTCTCTCTTTCCTTATCCTCAACAGAGAATAAGAAATAGAGCAGAACAGAGCCAAGAACCTTAAAACAGGGAGTCCAGCCATTCTCTTCCTGTTGACTCTTGACCAGAGGTTCCTTGTAAAATGGTGAGGCAAGGAATTCAGAGGCTGCTTCGGCCTTAAGGGAAGGGGGGAAAGTACATGGACCCTATACCCCGACCAGTCCCTATATTCAGGACTGATTTCCTGTAGCGATTTACTAGGACAGCACAACTGATAGACACACAAACCCAACTTTCAGGGGAATCTCAGTGAGGTAGTGGGACCACCCTGCAGGAACTTGGGTACGAGAGCCATCAGGACCAAGGTCTCGGGGCCTAGCCAGCCAGGGTCCCCTTCCCGGAGAGAGATGTCATGGTTGGAGGACCTGATTTATTTTTGACCAACATTCAGAGCCTGGTTCTGGCATTGCTCAGTCTCAGGACGGTGGTAGTGCCCTGTGTAACCACGGCACTCTCTGAGCTTTCCCCAATCAAATCTACAACTGGGGCTTGGTGGGAAATGACATGCTGGTACATGCCAGGCACTTCCCGCTTCCATCTCCCGTCCTAAATACAGCACATGTCTATGAGCTAGCTTTCTGCAGGAAAACTACAGAATGTCTACCCTTCGTACTTTCAAAGGAAAACAGGTGCTAGGCCCTCCTGAGACAGAGCAGCAAGCCAAGCCTGTTCCTGGATGCCTGCCATTCTAACCCTATAGAGATCTGCCTCCCTCCTCTGGGTGCTGAGCATATATTTCTCCCTCCTGAGCAGGTCCTGGAAAGAAGGATTGGGGTGGACAGCTGGGTCCAAGGACAGATAAGAACAAGTACTTTAGCCCTCTGCCCTGGACTTGAAAAGGGAAGCCCTGCAGAGAGTATCCTGTGGTAGTGTAGCTGCTTCAGATTCTACCCTATATCCCACTTCCCTAACCAGGCAGCAGCGCCAGCTCCACTGACTCCCCTCTGGCTCTTGAAAACACAGCTAAGTGTTTTCCAGCAGAGTCCAGATATGTTGCAAAGTTCTAGCCCTCATACTCTGTGAAGTGGGTCCAACCGCCCTCCAGGGAAGAGAGGAGCGTCTCCCTAACCCTCCTCTGGAGTGCGGTCCCTCCTTGAATCCCAGTGCTGGCCACATGCACTCTGACTCAGGATGCTGGGCTTGAGTAAGATTCTAGGTTATAGACCCTCCCATTGTTTACTTACAATGATTGATAGTAAGACACACTTTTCCTTATGTTCTAGTTTTTAGCATAATCACTGCCTATTGTAATAGAAGAATTTCATGATCCTAACGTGTATGCTTCCCTCTGCTGCCCTGAGGCATTCCCACCACCCCCCTTTTGCTATGAGAGGGAGCAGCTTTGTGACTGGGACCCTGTGAACAAAGGAATTAGGATCTTGATTGAACCTTAACAAGATCAGGGCTATCCACTGATTCTGTCACTGCCTTGCTGCCTGAGCATTAAAGAGGAGAACAGTTGATCATTTCTTTATCTGGAAAATTGGGCTAGGAACTGCTGCCTGCAATAGCAGCAGCAGGAGGCTGGGTAACCCTAGTTCACTGTGGCGCTGGCCAGTGACTGCATAGCCCTGGTTATGACTGGGAAGCTTTAGAAAAATACTGATGCCTGAGTCCCACCCATTCCCACCTATAGGGTCAAAATCAGGTGGAACTGGGGCCTGTGCAGTTTTTTGATTTTTCTCCAAAGACTGGGAAAATGTTCATTTTAATTGAGATATAACTCATATACCATAAAATCCATGCTTTTAGAATGTACAGTTCAGTGGTTTTAGTGTATTTGCAAGGTTGTATAACCTATTCACAAGGTTGTGCAACCTAATTCCAGGATATTTTCATGACCCCTAATAGAGACTCTTAACCCATTAGTGGTCATTCCCTATCCCCTCCCTTTTTCAGCCCCTAGCAACCACTTATCTGTTGAATGGAATCATATAGTATATGAGAGATACTGACTTTTAAAAGTTTCACAGTTCCAGTTCTCTTAGTGCCTTTGTTGCTGGTTTCTAAGAGCTTACTTACGACTAAAATGTTAACCATTTCTCATGCATTGCAAATTAAATACCATGTTTTCTGTGATTTTACTGTGGTGGTTTATTTTTTGGTTGTACAGAAATTGTGTATTGAAATAAGTTCTTTTTTTTTTTTTTAAGTTGCGCAGATCATTCTAATGTGCAGCCCAAATAGAGAATCATTAATCATTAGATGTCATTATTAAGGAATCTGCCTGCAATAAGATTTTGTGGATTATTGACTAAGAACCAAGGGACTCTCCCTGCTGAGGTCTGGGGGCCTTGGTGGGTATGTGTTTGAGAGGCTGTATTGTGAAGCCACTGGAAATGGCCAGATGATCATCGCCTAGTGCAGCAGTGGCTTCTCCCATTGGAGTGAGTGGGTGGGCCAATTACCGGAGACCCTCCGTCCAAGGCTCCCTAATTGTTGTCATGAGGGACGTGGAGGACAGCCATAGCTCCTGCCCTCAAAATGTGTATGACCCAGTGAGAGAGATGAGACAGACCATCTACCTTCCCCCTCCTCCCCCCACCCTAATCCCCACCTTGTCTGGGTATTTATTTGTGCTGCGCTTGAGTTTGCCCCTGAGGTGGACCTCTGTGATTGAGACAGCCACCTTGTCCTTGGGGAGGGGATATGTGGGTCTGGATCTGGGATTCATATGGCCTCTTTCCTGCAGGTGGCAGGAGATGTTCTTTAAAGTGAAGAAAACAGTTGGGGAAGCTTCAGATGGACCAAGCAGCACCTACCTGGCCGACACCACCCATACCTCCTTGTACTTGGTGAGGCCCCGGGGTAGGAGTACACCTGAGGAAGGGAGTAAAAACCACTTTTAGAAACTAAAGGTTCCTCCCACCTTTCGCAGGTGGGTTCTACCCTGAGCCCCGTTCCAAGGGTCCCTTTGGGAGAATCCAGCCTCTGGAGCAGCTTGTCTCCTCCAGGCCTGGAGGCCTTGGTGAGCGAGCTGTGTGCTGTCCTGAAGCCTCGCCTCCAGCCCGGGTGAGTGAGGCTGCAGCCTTAGAGAGTGAGGGAGGCCTGCTTGCAGCATCCCTGGAGGGACAGCAGGCCAGACAAGTAGCCCACAATGCCCCGGCGGAAGTGCCACTCGGGGGCCTGCCTTGAACCAGTATGCAAAGGTCGCTGGCCCACGTGCTTTCTGTAAGCAGAGTCCCAGACTCCTTTCCAGGACTAATACCCATCCTTCAAGGCGGGCTGTGGAAGCAGACTCTCCACCAGAGACAGCTGTCTGTGAGACTGCTCTTGCCTTTGGGGAGGCCACTGGCCACCCTGGTCTTTGCCACCCTGACCCTGACAGACACAGCGCCCCATACCACTGGCGCACGTGTAGGCACAGACCCCTCCCTAATTCCAATACGGCCCAGGCCAGACACAACAGTCAAGGCTTTGTTGAAAACACAGCGGTGACAAGAGAGACTTAGTCTTGGCTGCTGGGTATGCACCGTACCCCTGCCAGAGCACCGCAGGTGGTGTGGGAGGTGAGCGTGTGGAGACAGCCCTGGGGGAGGGGATGCCTCAAGGAGTGAGAAACAGGGAGTCTGTGCTCTAGATCCAAGGGTCCCTCTGTTCCTGGGGACTCTAAAGTTTGGAGGAGACAGGTGTCTGTTCTCTGGTTGCAGGGGCGCCCTGCTGACAGGAACTGGCAGCGTCCTCCTGCGGGGCCCCCCAGGCAGTGGGAAGACCACAGCAGTTGCTGCTGCCTGCAGCCGCCTTGGGCTCCACTTACTGAAGGTGAGGGAACTGGGAAGGGAGAACCCCAACTGCTTCCACTCTCCAGCCCAGATGCCCCCTCCCTCTCTCCCTCCCCCTTCTCCCTTCTGGCTACTAGCCTGGCTCTAACACCTCAACCCAGTGGGTCTGCTGTATTCCCATGATGCTCGGCTCCTGAGAGATGCTTTTAAGGAGAGGGTTTCAAGATTTTGGTGGACAGTCCAGGGAATGAGGCTAGGATAAAGAAGACATCGGACTTGGCCAGCATTACCTCTTCCTCCGTCCCTGCCCTTCACAAAAAGATGGCCTGCACCTTCTTCAGACTCCTCCTCCCTCTCTCCCCAGTCTCCTGCCCCAGTCACACCGGCCCCTTGCTCACAGGCCCGTTCCCCACACCCCCTCCCCAGGTGCCCTGCTCCAGCCTCTGTGCAGACAGCAGTGGGGCTGTGGAGGCAAAACTGCAGGCCACCTTTTCCCGGGCCCGGCGCTGCCGGCCTGTGGTTCTGTTGCTGACAGCCTTAGACCTCCTGGGCCGGGACCGTGATGGGCTAGGCGAGGACGCCCGTGTGGTGGCCACGCTGCGTCGCCTCCTCCTCGACGAGGACCCCCTCACCAGGTATTGTGCAGAGCTGGGCCCAGCCCTCCTCCCTCCCTTCAGCCTTTCATCCTCTCGTCCTCACCGGCCAACATCGACTGCCAACTTGGCCGCCTTCCTGACAGCTCTGAGGAGCTCAGGGGTGTCCAGAGGGAGAAGGGTGTGGTCCTTAGTTTTTCTTCGGGGATATTAGGATGCAGAAAAAGCACAGCCTCTGCCCTCGGTGAGCCACCTTGTGTAAGGGTGAAACACAGGCCCTTCTCAAGGAATTCCCACGGAGCCCCATCTGGGAAGCCTTGGGGTGCTCATCTCCCTGTCCCATCTCAGAACCCCCCCTCCTCCCCGCCGTCCTACGCCAGCCTCAGGACCAGCAGTGCTCAGGGGCTGCCCGCCGCGTTCTCACCCTCAGTCCCCACTCTGTCTGCAGCTGCCCCCCACTGATGGTTGTGGCCACCACAAGCCGGGCCCAGGACCTGCCTGCCAATGTGCAGACAGCGTTTCCTCATGAACTGGAGGTGCCTGTGCTGTCAGAGGGGCAGCGGCTCAGCATCCTGCGGGCCCTCACTGCCCACCTGCCCCTGGGCCAAGAGGTGAACCTGGCACAGCTGGCTCGGCGGTGTGCAGTGAGTACCAAGGCAGGGTCTTACCCTCCCACGGGCTTTGTCATGGAAACTCACACCTGCTACCAGCAACTGAGGGTAGAAAAACCCAAGGCATCAATGTTGGGCCTCTGCTCCAGCTGGGGGACCAGCCACCCCAGAGTTCCTGCCTACTGTGCCCTGCTCATGTGTCCTTTCCTGTGGTTCCCCAGGGCTTTGTGGTAGGAGATCTCTATGCCCTTTTGACCCACAGCAGCCGGGCAGCCTGCGCCAGGATCAGGAACTCAGGGTAAGCAAATTGGGCACAGAAGGACAAAGGAGACAAGAGGAAATAATGGGTGGGTGGGGACTGGTGAGGAAGAGAGTAGGGACCAGGACCCTGATGGGGAGAAGACCTCAGGTCAGGTGCTAAGACAGCTGCCTGAGTTTCTCCTTGTAGTCTGGCAGGCGGCTTGAGTGAGGAGGATGAAGGGGAGCTGTGCGCTGCTGGCTTTCCTCTCCTGGCTGAGGACTTCACACAGGCCCTGGACCAGCTGCAGTCAGCTCACTCCCAGGCCATCGGAGCCCCCAAGGTAGACACTCCAGGCCTTTGGAGGTGGGACGTGAGCACACCCCTCCGCCCCACACAGGCCCCACCCTGTACTTTCCGCCTCCTAGATCCCCTCGGTGTCCTGGCACGATGTGGGCGGGCTGCAGGAGGTGAAGAAGGAAATTCTGGAGACCATCCAGCTCCCTCTAGAGCACCCTGAGCTGCTGAGCCTGGGCCTGCGGCGCTCAGGCCTCCTGCTCCATGGGCCCCCAGGCACTGGCAAGACCCTCCTGGCCAAGGCGGTGGCCACGGAGTGCAGCCTTACCTTCCTCAGGTGGCGAGGGGGCCTGAAGGGGTGGTGGGTGGATTGGGTGCTGCACAGTCTGGGAGCAACAGGGGCAGGCCAAGAGGTCAACTGCGTGTTTGTGCGTCTAAACGAGTGTTACCCTCCCGATCCTCTCCCTCAGCGTGAAGGGGCCAGAGCTCATCAACATGTATGTGGGCCAAAGTGAGGAAAATGTACGGGAAGGTGAGTGAGCGGACAGCGGCAGGGCTTCCAGTCCTTCCCAAACCCGGACGGCCCCTGTGCCGCCCGCCTCCACCGCCCCGCCGCCCCTCAGGCTGCTCATGGTCATTCCTAGTCTTCCTTTCCACAAGTCAGGTTCCTGTTAGTGGGGCCTATTACCTGGAGTGCTAGTTATGAATTGTTAAGCCTGGGTTTCCTTCCCCCATATCCTGATTTCAAGCCCTCCTGAGCTTCCCTGTCCTGTGGGCCCTCTCTCTCCCCTCAGTGTTTGCCAGGGCCAGGGCTGCGGCTCCCTGCATTATCTTCTTTGATGAACTGGACTCCTTGGCCCCAAGCCGGGGGCGAAGTGGAGACTCTGGAGGGGTGATGGACAGGTGGGGGCCTGAGCCAGAATGGAGTCCGGGGTCCAGGACAGTGGGGTGTGAGATAGTTGCATCAGTCTTCAGAACCCGAAGAGTTCCCGCCCTTCCAGCTCTGAGAGAGTGTAGTGGAAGCTAACAGGGGCTGTGGCTTTGGGTGTGGGTCATTGAGGAGAACAGGCACCTGCATGGAAGGGTGCACAGGACACGACTAAGCGGGGGTCCCTGTGGAGAAGGCCCGCAAGGAGGCATCACGGGCAGGGCAAAACCTGAGGGTAGGCCAAGGACTCTCGCCTCTGCTCCTCGTCTGCAGGGTGGTGTCTCAGCTCCTGGCTGAGCTGGATGGGCTTCATAGCACTCAGGATGTGTTTGTGATTGGAGCCACCAACAGACCAGACCTCCTGGACCCTGCCCTTCTGCGGCCTGGCAGGTGCGCACCCTGTACCTCTCTTCTGCCACCCCCATCTAGGCTTGTCCCTTGAGTCCGTCCTCTGCCTTCTTCACTCACCCTGATGCTGGGCTCCCTGATATGTATGCCTACCTATCTCCCTAAAGATTTGACAAGCTGGTGTTTGTGGGGGTGAGCGAGGACCGCGCTTCTCAGCTCCGTGTTCTGAGTGCCATCACACGCAAGTATGCCTTGCTGGAGACCCCCAGAGGGTTTGGGCCTTGGGTTGATTAGGGAATAAGTGCAATGTGCAGAATAGACTGATCAGAGATGCCTTTTGAGGGAGTAGGGCATGCCAGGTAAAACTTTCCTTATGTATCCCCACAACAGATTCAAGTTGGAATCCTCTGTGAGCCTGGTGAATGTGCTGGATCACTGCCCTCCCCAGCTGACGGGTGCAGACCTCTACTCCCTCTGCTCCGATGCCATGACAGCTGCCCTCAAACGCAGGGTTCAGGATCTGGAGAGAGGTGAGCCACTCGCCAGCCCCAGAGGTCAACCAAAAAGCTAGTGGGGAAATGGGGCCTGGTTCTGGATTTCAGAGGAGGGACTCCTGATGTTTGGAGGACTCTGGGCAAGAAAGTGCGCCCCCAAGCCTCTCCCCTGCCTGGATGTAGCCGGAGTTCCCCAGCTGGGATGGGAACCCTGGCCTCAACTTCCCATGGTCATCCCTCTAGGGCTAGAACCTGGGAGCTCAGCACTGCTGCTCACCATGGAGGACCTGCTGCAGGCCGCCACCCGGCTGCAGCCCTCAGTCAGCGAGCAGGAACTGCTCCGGTACAAGCGCATCCAGCGCAAGTTTGCTGCCTGCTAGGAGCCTCCTACAGTCTGGGACCCAGCCCCAGCCACAGCACTGAAGGTACCTAGGTACCTCCAGAGACCTGAGACAGCAAGGGCTCTTTCTCAGGCTGCCCCAACTCATCTGAAGGCTACCTCCCTCCAAGAGATCCCCTGAGTGCCAAGTAGCGGAGCCCCGAGAGAGTTCAAGAGGCATCCTTTGTCCATTTTTCCAGGCCAGCCCCAGCATCTGCTTAGGAAGAGGGGTGGGAGGCTAGAGGTCTGGGAATTGGGCCCCCAGGGAGCCTGGTCCGTGGCTGAAAATAAAGTGTATGCTGCCCTCTGCTGGTAGTGTGGCCTGAGAGATTGGTGTGGTGGTGTGGGGAAGAGGGAGACTGAGAGGAGTGAGCCCCAAGGGAGGGCAGGGTGGGCTCCACAGGAGCCTGATCCTTCTGACATACACAAGGCATGCAGGAACTGAAAAAGACAGCGACTATATTGTCATCCTTCCATTAGCTTAAACCCACATTCCTGCACCCCAGTTGCAATGGGCCCCTCCCCCCACCCCAGAATTTGCACATGGTGCTGCTAGTGTGGGGCTCCCCAGACAGAGCCCGGAAGCGCCTGGGCAGACGGTTGTGGGAATGGAGGCCACACTCAGCCTGTCTTCTTGAGCACGTGGATGAAATAGCAGGGAATGTAGGTCTGGCCTGGCTTGTAAGGCTTGAAGTCACCCAGGATGGTGTGCTGGCACTTGCCCCCAAAGGCTGCTCGGAGCAACTCCGTGAAGGACGACAGACAGTGAGGGTAGTAGGAGAGCCGGAACTTACTGCAGCAGACACCACGACCGACCATGAGGGCTGGCGGCCTCAGCACCAACCCCGAATCATCCCCCACCAGCCACGTGGATACCTCAAACCAGGAGAGCCGTCCTTGCCAGCCCCCGGCACCTGCACCGTGTAGTCCAGGGTTACCATGTGGGCTTTGTTGTTCACTGTCAGCACTGATGTCGTAATGTCCTTGGTCAAGTCACTCTGCAAGTGATGGTGCAGGCTGCATTAATCTCTGTAACCGCAGTGGGGGCTAGACCCCAGAATCACACCTCCCACTCTGGGCCCTCCCTCAGGGGCCCACCTTATAGTAGATGTTCTTTCCTGGGGGAGCACAGCCTGTGCTGAGGATGTGGTCGTAGTTACGGTGATCGATGACCAGCAAGCCCCCTGACCGCACCATGTTCGCAATGTTCTTCAGTGCCAGCTGGTGCTCACTCTGGTCCCCTGAATTCCAAGCAGGGGCAGAGGGGCTATGTCTGCTCAGGGTCCCCAGCACCAGTCTCTCTCCCATACTTCTACTCCCCAGGGACACCTGTGCCAAGGCAGAGGCGGGCAAAAACACAGTCTGCTCTGGCTGGAGAGCAGGCGCCCGGGCGTCTGTGGAAAGGAAGTATAGCCCAAAACAAGAACCATGGCCAAGGTCACCCACCCTCACCTTTGCAGTCTGGCAAGTGGGCAAAGCTGTTTCCAAGGCAGATGACAGCATCAAAGCCACCCTCTGGAGGTTGAGGCACATCTTTGTCCAGAGTCATCCAGTTGGCTTCCTCAATGACTGGGGGCCAGGAAGAGGAGACCAGGCTGGTAACCATGGTACCAGCAGAACCCATCTCTACTGAGTGCAGTTCTGCCTCAGTTGCCCCTTCAAGACACACACAGGGACTCCACATCCAGTTGGAGGAAGGGGATAATTATGGAGATGGAGGATGAATGGGAAGAGGGGTCAGGAGAGAAGGAAGCCATGGCTCAAAAGGATGAGTCTATGCTGATGGTTTTTTATTTGGAGGGAGGGACAAGACATTATAAACAATTAAAATTAGCTCCTCATACCTGATATCTTACTGTGGTACCTAAGTCTCCCTTTTCAGCGAAAGGACAGTAATTTTGCTGTGCCCTTGAGGAAAACAAAACACCCCACCCCAGGAACCCGGGGCAGAGAGAACGTGTCCTTGGTGGCTGGGCTGGGAGGGCCTGCCTGGCCAGACCCACGTACCCCACTTGTCGAAGGCGGGCTCATGCCGCCGGTTCCAGCGCTCTTTAAGTGCATATTTCAGCATCTTGTCACTGGCATCCACGCTTGTCACGCTGAAGCCCTCTTCCACCAGCATGATGGAGTCCACCCTGGGCAGGGCCGGGGAGGAGAGGCAGAGAGGTCAGTGGGCCTGGGAAGGTGAGGAAGCCCTTCAGACCCCGTTCCTCTGCTCCCTCTCCCTAGGCCCTCTCCACTAACCTCAAATGGCCTGGCAAATCTGTTTTTTATCACCAGGAGGCGACACTGCACTTTGATTTTTAGCACCCATTCAGAGTCAGACATTCTACAAATGTGCATTAATCCTCATGGCAATCCTGTGAAGTGCCCCATTTGAGAGCTGAGGCAAACTGAGGCTCCCGAAGTTAAGTAACTTGTGAACAGAGGGTAGTTTTGCATGGTGGTTTAAAGCACAGGCCAGACCCTAACTGACCAGATCTGACTCTTCTCTCCACCCAATGGGGGATCTTACTTCTGTGAGGCTGAATTTCCACAGCTGTAAATGGGATATCACTAAGTAATTACCTCCTTGGGTTCTGTGAGGATAATTTTTAAATAAATTTTATTGAATGTTAGCTTCCTGTTAGTTTGTTTTTTAATCCTTACCTAAGGACATGCTTTTTGATTTTAGAGAGAGGGGAAGGGAGAGAAACATTGATGTGAGAGAGAAACATCCATCTGTTGCCTCATATGCACCCCAACTGGGACTGAACCCACAACCCAGGCATGTGCCCTGGCCAGTAACCGAACCCAACACCCTTCAGTTTACCGGACAGCACTCCTAACCAACTGAGCCACACTGGCCCCAGCAGGTCTTGTGAGAATTAAAAGCAAACAAACAAAAAAACCTGTTTCAAAAGCTCCTGGCACAGTGCTTGGCATGGACAAATGCTGAACAAACATTAATTGTTAACAATTACCATCAGGGCTGGTGGGGCTCAGTGGATTGAGTGCCGGCCTGCGAACTAAAGGGTCGCCGGTCAGGGCACGCGCCTGGGTCGCGGGCCAGGTTCCCAGTAGGAGGTGTACGAGAGGCAATCACACATCGATGTTTCTCTCCCTCCCTTCCCCTCTCTCTAAAGATAAATAAATAAAATATTTTTTTTAAAAGAAAAAAACACACTAAAACAAGTACTATTGTCACCCGAGGAATAATGCTGGAGCCAGGCGCGGATATCATTTCGCTGTGGCCCAAAGCCGAGTTCTGGCGTTGCCGGGTGGAACTGCCTTCCCCACTCGCTGCGCCCACACTCTCACCCTCGACCTGGTCCTGGCACCCCCAGTGCGCCTCGCCCGTGCGCCCGCCCATGCGGCCCGGGTAGACACCGTTCCTGGCCCAGGCGGCGGAGGCTGCCCCGACGTGCCCGGTCATGGTCCTGCAGTCCGACGGCCCCGTTCCCCGGATCCCTGTCCGCCCAGCCAGGCTCACCCAGTGCCGCAGGCCACGTCGAGCACCCGCTGGCAGCCGTGCTGGCGCAGCAGCCCTAGCAGCCAGGCCTTGTACTCGGCCGTGCGGCTGCGGGTGTCTCCGATGTAGAGCTGCCACACGCGTGCCGCCTCTCCATCTGCGTACTGGTCCGGGAGCCCTTCTGCCGCCACCCCCAGGGAGCGAGTTCGGTACACACTGTCCACCATCCTGCAACGCACCTGGCACTGTGGCCACCCGGCCACGCATTTATAGCCTGGCCCGTCCGGGAGGCCAGGCGGCCCCACCTGCCCAATAGCAGGTGAGCGTGGGGACACGCCCCTGCAGGGTCAAGGCCCGGCACCCGCTGGGAGGGCGCCACCTGAGAACCCTGGAGGAACGGTTCTCTCTCGCCTGAAGATCCAGCACTCTGGACAGTCCCACGGCAGGAAAGGACCATCCCCGTCCCCTGCCAACTTATCCCAGCCGGCAGGAGGACCAGGGCGGGGCCAGGAGAATGGGGAACAGTGAGATTGTCCACTCCACCCCCTTCCAAACTGGAAAGAATTTTCTTCGGTTCCAGCCAGTGCCCACTCTGGTCCCCTAAGCTCCAGGTAGTGGCAAAGAGGCTGTGTCTGCTCAGTCTTCGGTCCCCTCAGAGCTCAGCGCTCAGGACTGGACCATCCTTTGTGACTGAAGGCACTAGCATATATAAAGAAGAAATATCCAGCTGAAGGAAGGCCTGGTCAGCCAGGAAAGGAAGGAATGAGAGGTCTTTGGGGATAAGGCTGGTCTGGCCACCCAAGTCCAGGAGCAGTTTTGGATCAAGGGATCATTCTGTCCACCTGGAGGCTGGTGCTCCTCTGACCTGGAGGTGATGTGTCCAACCTTTTCCTGAGCCACTTAAGGAGCCCTTCCCTAGAAGCCCTTGCTAACCGAGCACGCTTCTAAAGACCATCTGCTTTCTGGGGAGGTGCCTACAGGATAGGAAGTCCAGGGTCAGGGGTGAGAGTGCTTGGTGCTCTTGCTGTTATATTGCTCATTGTCACTTCATAAATTGGTCTTGGTTTGGTTGGTGTTTTCATCTACTCTTCCTTCTAAGGCAGAAGGCCGGAATCTGGGAAAAAGACTCGGGACTGGGGTGGATTCAGTAAGATGATTCCACCCAGCAAAGGCCAGGACAGCAAGAACAGCCTTCCCCACCTGACTTTGTTCTTCTGGCTGCAGAAAGAGTGAGGTAGACTTTAGAACAAAGGAAACTCTCCCCAAAGACCATGAGTTTAATTGATTTCAGAGTGAGAGGTCAAATTGTTGTCCCACTCATGCATCATTGGTTGATTCCTGTATGTGCCCTGACCACCTCGGCTGGGGATGGAACCAGCAACCCAGGCATGTGCCGTGACCGGGAACTGAAACTTTTCCTTTGTGGAATGACACCCAACCAATTGAACCACACTGGTCAGGATGTAATCATTAACTTTAATACACAGATGGCCTCAAATGGGCCTGTCCACGACCAGGTAACAGAGTCTTGTGTTTATGCTGACCCTACAGGCAGGTCTTTAGCAACAGGTTTACAAAGGCACTGTTCTGGGTAGTTGTAAGTAAACCCAGAGTTTTCTTTAGTCAGAATAACCTGGGGAAAATCCACTTTTGAGATTTTGAGAAAAATCCCAGGTTAAAAGAATTATCCTTAGGTGCGGGCAGCAATCTGTATTCTATGTCCTTGCATCAAGGCATAATACAGGGTCTGGCACAAATAACGCACCTCCCCCCTTTTTTTAAAGATTTTATTTATTTATTTTTAGAAAGAGAGGGAGAGAGAAAGAGACGGAGAAAAACATCAATGTTTGGTTGCTTCTTGTACACCCTCAACCAGGGAACTGACCTGCAACCCAGGTATGTACCCTGACTAGGAATTGAACTAGCGACCCTTTGGTTCACAGGCCAGCACTCAATCCACTGAGTCACACCAGCCAGAGCTAACACCCCTTTTTTATTACAAAATCATAAGTATGTAATTCTGTAACATGACAATATCACACTCAAGCATGCCATATGATATTTTAGGTAAAATGTTCAAATTAAAACTATAAATTATTATACCCATATTATCACCCTACCAACCACACTGAAGCAGACCTTACTTCTGCTGGACAGTGTTTATAACCACCTATCTCTATGGAGTGCCTTTTTTTTTTTTTTTTTTTGAGTCCTTTCCAAGAAAATTAGTCCCTTCCTTGGGGAGAAAAATACATTTTGGTTTTTATTTTTTAAAGGAAAATGCATTCTTAAACTTGATATTGGAAGATCTGAATTCCGGCCAAGATGGAGGCATGAGTAGATACACTTTGCCTCCTCACACAACCAAAAGAAGGACAATAAATTTTAAAAAATAACCAGAACTGCCAGAAAATCAATCTGTATGGAAGTCTGACAACCAAGGAGCTAAGGAGACAGTCATCCAGACCACAAGGACGGGCAGAGATGGGGAGCTGGGGCGGAGTGGAGACATGAAAAGGCAGAGGCTGGAGGACCAGCCAGCCCCACATTTGCATGCGGATAAACTGGAGGAACAGCTGGGGAGCAAGACAGACTGCGCAATCCAGGGTCCCAGTGCCAGGAAAGAAAGTCACAAAACCTCTGGAGGTAAAAACCTATGGGGGTTGTAGTGGCAGGAGAAACTCCTGGTCTCACAGGAGAGTCCATTGGAGAGACCTACAGGGTCCTAGAGCGTGCACAAGTCCACCCATCAGGGAATCAGCACTAGAAGGGCCCAATTTGCTTGTGGGTAGTGGGGGAAGTGACTGAAAGCCGCCTGGGAGCCAAGCAAGAAGCATTGTTCCCTCTCAGACCCCTCCCCCACATATAGCATCTAAACACAGTGACCTGGGGTGCTGCGCCCTGGCAAATACCTAAGGCTCCACCCCTTCCAAAGTAACAGGCCCATTGAGACAAAGAAATATGGCCCAAATGAAAGAACAGATCAAAGCTCCGAAAATAGAACTAAGCAACGAACGATAGCCAACCTATCAGATGTGCAGTTCAAAACACTGGTAATCTGGATGCTCACTGAATTCGTTGAATATGGTTGCAAAATGGAGGAAAAAGTGAAGGCTACACAAAGTGAAGTAAAGAAAAACATACGGGGAACCAACAGTAAAGGGAAGGAAACCGGGACTCAATCAATGATTGGGAGCAGAAGGAAGACATAAATATTCAACCAGAACAGAATGAAGAAACAAGAATTCAAAAAAATGAGGAGAGGAACCTCTGGAACAACTTTAAACTATTCAACATCTGAATGATAGGGGTGAGAGGAGAAGAGGAAGAACAAGAAATCGAAAACTTATCTGAAAAAAGAATGGAGAACTTCCCAATCTGGCCAAGGAAATAGACTTCCAGGAGACGCAGGAAGCTCAGAGAGTCCCAAAGAAGTTAGACCCAAGGAAGCACACACCAAGGCACATCATAATTACATTCCCCAAGATTAAAGATAAGGAGAGAATCTTAAAAACAGCAAGCGAAAAGGAAATAGTTACCTACAAAGGAGTTCCCATAAGACTATCAGTTGATTTCTCAAAAGAAATCTTGCAGGCAAAAAGGGACTGGAAAGAAATATTCAAAGTCATGAAAGACAAGGTCTTATATCCACGATTACCCAGCAAAGCTGTCATTTAGAATGAAAGGGCAGATACAATGCTTCCCATACAAGGTAAAGTTAAAGGAGTTCATCATCACCAAGCCCCCATTATATGAAATGTTAAAGAAACTTATCTAAGAAAAAGATGAAGTTCAGAAACTATGAACAGTAAAATGATAAACTCACAACTTACAACAACTGAATCTAAAAACAAAAACAAACTAAGCAAACAACTAGAACAGGAACAGAATCGCAGAAATGGAGATCAGCAGTGGGGGGAGGAGAGAATGGGGGAAAAGGTACAGGGAATGAGAAGCATAAATAGTAGGTACAAAATAATCAGGGGGAGGTTAAGAGTAGTATAGGCAATGAAGAAGCCAAAGTACTTATATGTACTCACACCCATGGACATGAACTAAGAGGGTGGAATGCTGGTGGGAGGGGGGTGCAGGGAGGAGGAGAATAAAGGGGAGGAAGAAAATGGGACAGCTGTAATAACATAATCAATAAAATATATACTTAAAAATAATAAAAATAAAAATAAATAAGTAAAACCTTAAAAAAAAAGAAGATTACAAGGGAAACCAGGCACGAGCTGGGAGAAGGTATCCCAACACATGTATCCAGAGCCGTGGCAACTCTCTGTGTGTGATGACAACCAGCAAGCAGGCGGGGTGCCCAGGGGTTGGGGGACTGGACGGGGTTCTCTGCAAAAAAAACAAAAAACAAAAATAAAAAAAAAACCCTTGATATTTATTTTACCTCAAACCAAGAAGAAAATAATTAATTATTTGGCTATAAATTAATCAGCTGAAAGTAATATCTGTTAAATTACAATTTGGCCATAAGAAAAGAAATTTTAAGGAAAAATAGACCTACTAAATTTTTTGCTTTTGCGTACTGGAGTTCTGAAATGCACTTAAGATATTTGAGGAGAAATAAAGAATAATATTAAATTGGAATGACAACCAAAATGGTAGGAAAATAATTTGTCATTATTTATAAATGAATTGACTGGATAGAAAATTTTTGAAAAGTTAAGTGGCTAAGAGCAATTTATTCTTTTTTCCCTTTTGCTTTCTTTTCGGCTTACTTTTGCTTCTTAACCCTCCTGAATGGATCTGAGGTAAACCTGGGATTTCCTCAGAACTCCAAATGCTGTTGGGGAATGTCACCTTTAAAAGACCAGAATAGGCCCTGGCCAGGTAGCTGAGTTGGTTGGAGCACTGTCCTGATACACCAAGGCTTTGGGTTTTGATCCTTGGTCTGGGTGCATACAGGAGTCAACCAATGAATGCATGAATATGTGGAACAACAAATCGATGTTTCACTCTCTCTCCATCTCCCTCCTCTAAAAACAAAAATGAATAAAAATAAAAAAAGACCAGGATAATCATGTAAACAGGTTACCAGACTCTTTGGTTCTCAATATTTAAGGACAAGTACTCTTGTGATTTTGAATATTCTCTTCTCCTAATATTTATATATATACACATATATAATAGTGAAGCCTGGGAGAAGAGCATTGATTTGTAAATTTAGATATCTCTGTCCACACTTTCACTTAGAAGTTGCCATTCAAAGATTAGACTCTGGAGCTCTTTGATAAAACTAA